TTGAGTAATCGCTTAAGAAGAAATGAGCAAACAAATCAAAAAACTTTTCATGGAATGCTTTTGTTTACAATTTGTCTTTCGGAATAATGAGACAACTGTACAACTATGCAGGGGCGGATCTAAGATTTTCTCGAGGGGGGGCGGATTTTCAAAAAACTTTCCAAAATTACGACGACCTTTTTTTTTTTATCGACCGAATTGATTTTTCGAGCTCTCCCAAAGCACTGTTTTGCCCCTATTTTGGCTAAAGTTTCTGCGCCACAGGCAAATTAAAAAAAAATCAGTCGAAAATGCCGTTTTTGGGCATTTTTGAAATATTTTGTGAAAAAAATGGCGTTTTTTTTTTGGCGCGCGCTCTCCCTCAAAGTTAGTATATATTGGCGCCGAAGGCCCCTTTAGAAAAATTTTAGGGTCGGTCGACCAAAAACGGATTTCTGAAAAAGTATCAAAGGGGGGACCCCCCCCCCCCCCCCTAAATCCGCCCCTGCAACTATGAATATATGGTTTTAGTGTTTTTAAGAACAGTATTTTTATTTGAACAGCTTCTACAAAAAACACAGCATGACTTTTTTCTCCTGTTATTTTCCTGAAATTCTGTTATTTTTTCGCAGTGTTAGAATGTTTGAGTTTTACTGAAATATGGATGAACTCTTTTATATTTATTTGGAAATAGTTTCATACTTATTAATCAATTAATTTTTCATAATAAATTTTGAAGTTTTTAAGTGTATCGGGAGATGGTTGGTTTGAGAATTTTTTTGGAATTTGAAGGCAAAAGGAGCGTTATACGTGAATTTATTTAATGCAAAACTAAAACAATCAGACTAATTTTGTACAAAAAAAATCCAAATCAAATTTAGAGTAAAATTGAGTAATATTTTTTTGCAGTACGCAGGCTAACCTTGCATATTATTTCTATGTCAAGCTAAAAATTTTTTGTCAACGGCAGCAAACTTTTTTTTTGTCATCAATCAAACTGTTTGTTGTTTTTTTTGAAAAACTATGTTATTGGAATTTGATAAAAAATCAGCATTTAACATGAAAATTGGGCGTCTTGCTGGTTATGAAGTCATCAGGGTATGTCAAAAACTAGTCGCTACAAATGAAAACAAAATTTCCTACGAAACCGTGTTTCTTAAGAGTTTCTTATGAGCCGATGAAAATAATTGAATTTAAATTTAATTCGTGGTCATTGCTTACAGTAGCTAGTTCCTTTTCTAATTGAAAAAAAAATTACAATTCCATGTCTGATTATTTTTGACTATGGATTCGCGAGTTATTTTAAGAAACTTATTCCCTGTTATTCGGTTTCGCAATGGTTTTTTTTTAAATATGATAATAGGAAAAGCAAAAAAACCTCAGTTATTTTTTACTCAACACTTAGATACTTTGTTTCGGAATCTGAACCTCAACTTTAAAAGCTTAAATATGATATGAAATTTGACTCCCGGCGAGCTTTTGTTTTAGATAGGCAAAACCGGGGAGAGAAAGACATCTTCATCCCTGCATACACCACTGGTTCAGACCGAAACAAACCAATTCAAGCAAAACAAAAAATTTGGTTTAAAAAAAACTGTATATCAATGCAAATCATTTTCTTTACCATCTTCGCCTAAACTCAGAAAACTTGAAGTTTTACTTTTTTACCAACCTTCATTGTTAAAAAACCAAATGCGTAACAATTTCGGTCAAATTGTGCGTATATACTAGTTGTTTTCAATGTTTTTAAATGTAGAAAAAAAAACAACTATAGCACGACGCTAGTCTTACTCTTGGAGTGCTCGGTGTAGGTTACAGCATCCCTGATCACGCTCTCCAAGCTGTTCTTGAGCACTCCTCGGGTCTCTTCGTAGATCAGTCCACTGAGGGTATGTCAAAAACTAGTCGCTACAAATGAAAACAAAATTTCCTACGAAAACGTGTTTCTTAAGAGTTTCTTATGAGCCGATGAAAATAATTGAGTTTAAATTTCATTCGTGGTCATTGCTTACAGTACCTAGTTCCTTTTCTAATTGAAAAAAAAATTACAATTCCATGTCTGATTATTTTTGAGTATGGATTCGCGAGTTATTTTAAGCAACTTATTCCCTGTTATTCGGTTTTGCAATGGTTTTTTATTGAATATGATAATAGGAAAAACAAAAAAACCTCAGTTATTTTTTACTCAACACTTAGATACTTTGTTTCGGAATCTGAATCTCAACTTTAAAAGCTTAAAATGATAGGAAATTTGACTCCCGGCGAGCTTTTGTTTTAGATAGGCAAAACCAGGGAGAGAAAGACATCTTCATCCCTGCATACACCACTGGTTCAGACCGAAACAAACCAATTCAAGCAAAACAAAAAATTTGGTTTAAAAAAAAACTGTATATCAATGCAAATAATTTTCTTTCCCATCTTCGCCCAAACTCAGAAAACTTGAGGTTTACTTTTTTGCCAACCTTCATTGTTAAAAAACCAAATGCGTAACAATTTCGGTCAAATTGTGCGTATACACTAGTTGTTTTCAATGTTTTTAAATGTAGAAAAAAAAACAACTATAGCACGACGCTAGCAAAAAAAAGAATTCATATCATCATCAATCAATTTGTTTTACGCTTCCAATTTTTGCCTTAACTGCTGAACACATGGAACTAAGCTATTAATTTTATGAACATTACCAATTTTTTGAGTTCTGCTATTGGTTCTCAACTTTTAATTTTCATACTTTGCCTACTTTTTTGCTGGTGAATCTTGTTTTTTGTTTGTAAAAAAACTAGCCTAGCATCAGACATAAAAATTTGCATTAATTACTATAAACTTAGAACTACGCCTAGATAGAACTAGTAGATTGGTGGCCTTTAAAAAGGCCGGTTTGGTGTTGAAGCTTGAAAGCTAGCAACTGGTTGAGGTAGAAGCTCTTTACTTGTTGTCAGACTTGGGCTGAGACGAAGACTGCTTCTTGGGTAAGAGCACAGCCTGGATGTTTGGCAGCACACCGCCCTGAGCAATGGTCACTCCGTGGAGCAGCTTGTTCAACTCTTCGTCGTTCCAGATGGCCAACTGCAATGTCTGGGGATGATCCTGGACTTCTTGTTGTCTTTAGCAGCGTTGCCAGCCAGTCAAGGATCTCAGCAGTCAAGTACTCGAGCACAGCAGCAAGGTAGACTGGGGCTCCAGCACCAACTCGCTCAGCGTAGTTGCCCTTGCGGATGAATCGGTGGATTCTTCCAACAGGGAACTGCAGTCCAGCTCGGCTTGATCGGGTCTTGGCCTTGGCTCCAACTTTGCCGTTCTTCGATTTTCCTCCTTTGCCTGACATCGTGTTGTAGTTGTAGCTGTTGTGGTAGAAGCTGTAGATTGACGATTGACTTTACCCGCAATTTGGCTCCCTGTCTTAGGGTAGTAAGTTCAAATCGGCCACCAAGATGGGAGAGCCAATCAGAATCGAGCTAGCGTTTTAAGTTAGTTTAGATACGCTGAAAGCTCTAGACTAACTAGCTGAGCTAGTTTGAGCTCTAGCAGAGCTTGAATTAAGAACTGAGATAGTTGGTGGCCTTTAAAAAGGCCAGTTTGGTGCTGCAGCTAGGAGAGCAGCTGGTTAGAAGTTTCTTAACCTCCGAACCCGTACAAGGTCTTGCCTTGTCTCTTGAGGGCGTAGACGATGTCCATGGCTACAACGGTCTTACTCTTGGAGTGCTCGGTGTAGGTTACAGCATCCCTGATCACGCTCTCCAAGCTGTTCTTGAGCACTCCTCGGGTCTCTTCGTAGATCAGTCCACTGATACGCTTGACAACTCCTCGTAAAGCAAGACGTCTGATGGCTGGCTTGGTGATGCCTTGGATGTTATCTCTTAAGATCTTTCGGTCCCTCTTTGCTCCTCCTTTGCCAAGTCCTTTTCCTCCCTTTCCTCTTCCAGACATGGTTGTTGCAGTTGTAGTTATTGTAGAATTTGAAGTAGAAGTTGGGTTTGCGATTGGCAGAAATCGCTAGGTAACTATCATTTTTCGACCGACTTCTCTGCTCTCTCATTGGCCCTCATACCAACAGTCAATGCGAGAGGTGATAAGAAGCAGAGCTCAACCGGAACGAAAAATATTTCACGTATAAAAAAAGTAAGGCACGTGAAGGAGCAATTGATTTTTTATGAGCTCCCACAAGACCTTCTAGCACAAACTGGTCAGTCCAGAGAGCTTATATGAGCTATGTGATTTAAATCAAACTCGTAGAATCTCGCTTGAGCTCTCTGAGATAGCTTGCCGAGCTCTGAGAGCTCGAACTTAAACATTGTTAGGCTACGTACGGGATCAATTGAAAAAACTTTGAACTCACACAAGGAATACCAACTCAAACTGGTCAGTCCACAGAGCTTATTCGAGCTCTGTGATTCAAATCAAGCTCGTTCAAGCTTGCCCGAGCTCTCTGAGATAGCTTGCCGAGATCTGGGAGCTCGAACTTAAAAATAGTTAGACTACGTACGTGAGCAATTGAAAAAATTTTGAGCTCACCCAAGCTGTACTAGCTTAAACTGGTCAGTCCACAGAGCTTATTCGAGCTCTGTGATTTAAATCAAGCCCGTAGAAGCTCGGTTGAGTTCTGTGAGATAGCTTGCCGAGCTCTGAGAGCTCGAATTTGAAAATAGTTAGGCTACGTACGGGAGCAATTGAAAAAATTTTGAGCTCACACAAGGTGTACTAGCTTAAACTGGTCAGTCCACAGAGCTTATTCGAGCTCTGTGATTTAAATCAAGCTCATACAAGCTTGCCTGAGCTCTATGAGGTAGCTTGCCGAGCTCTGAGAGCTCGAAGCTCAAAAAAGTTAGGCTACGTACGGGAGCAATTGAACAGCTAGCTCGAGCTCATTTTCCAGCTGCGTCACCCCAATGAGGGGGAAGCAGAGCTCAACCTATACCAGCTTGAGCTTGCTCTGGTCGAAGTTAGCTTGAGCTAAGCTCACTGTGAAGAAATATAGAACTGATAGTTGGGTGGCCTTTAAAAAGGCCGGTTTGGTTGGTGTGGAGTACACCTTGAGCTTAAGCTCGCTCTCCTCGGATTCGTCGAGCCAACTGGATGTCCTTGGGCATGATGGTGACTCTCTTGGCGTGGATCGCGCACAAGTTGGTGTCCTCGAACAGGCTGACCAAGTAGCTCTCGCTGGCTTCCTGGAGAGCCATGATGGCAGTGCTCTGGAACCGCAAGTCAGTCTTGAAGTCCTGAGCGATTTCTCTGACCAGTCGCTGGAAGGGCAGCTTTCGGATCAACAGCTCAGTGGACTTCTGGTATCTCCTGATCTCCCTCAGGGCAACGGTTCCTGGTCTGTATCGGTGAGGCTTCTTCACACCGCCGGTGGAAGGTGCGCTCTTTCTTGCAGCCTTGGTAGCCAGTTGCTTCCTGGGTGCCTTTCCTCCGGTACTCTTTCGTGCAGTCTGCTTCGTTCGGGCCATTCTTCGTCAGTTGAGTGTAGCTGAGTTGTAGATGTAGAAGTAGATTTTGGGTGTTGAATTTTGGTAAAATCCGTGAGGTAACCTAGAGATTCAGATCTCCAGAAGGCTTGAGAGCGTTCGACGTATAAAAAATAGTTAGGCACGTAAAAGAGCAATAGAAGAAGAGCTCTGGTGAGTCGTTACTTATATATATTAAGGAGCATTTTCAACTATATATAGTAAAGTATGTGAAGTGCAGACTATTTATACTTGGATTGGAGGTTACCCGCCAAAAGTGGCAAATGTGATTGGCCCGTGTCTGAGTGATAACGGAAACTCAAACTAAGCTCGAATCTGATTGGCTGAGAAGTGAAAACTGGAAAATTTGGTGTTTCTGCCTCTAGAATTGACCCAAAGCTAACTTCAGCCAGCTACAAGCTCACTTCAGCTTAAACTAGCTGAATTGGACTTGTTAGCTAGCTTTGGAAGCTCAAACTTAGCTATTTCGTGCTGTAAGTTAGAGAGCACAATGAAGCTCAAATCTGATTGGCTGAGACGTGAAAGCTTAAAATTTGGCAGTTTTTTAGCTCTAAAGTTGGTCTGGAGCTGATTTAAGCAAGTTACAAGCTCAGTTGAGCTTAGTAGCTCAAATTAGACGCTCAAAGCTAGCTGTTGAGAGCTCGAAATTGCATACAAGCGAGTTTGAGCTTGCTAGCTAGAGTACAAAGAGAACTATGCTTTTTGGTGGCCTTTAAAAAGGCCGGTTTGGTGTTGCTCAGAGCAACTAGTTGTAGAAGATGGTCGTCTACTTGGAGCTGGTGTACTTGGTGACGGCCTTGGTTCCCTCACTGACAGCATGCTTGGCCAGCTCTCCGGGCAACAGCAGTCTGACTGCGGTTTGGATCTCCCGGCTAGAGATGGTTGATCGCTTGTTGTAGTGGGCCAGTTTTGAAGCTTCACCGGCGATTCTCTCGAAGATGTCGTTCACGAAGCTGTTCATGATCGACATAGCCTTGGATGAGATGCCAGTGTCAGGGTGGACCTGCTTCAGCACCTTGTAGATGTAGAGAGAGTAGGTCTCTCGCCTCTTCTTCTTCTTTTTCTTGTCTCCGGTGGGCTTCTTCTGGGCTTTGCCCGCCTTCTTGACTGCCTTTCCGCTGACTTTGGGTGCCATTGTAAGAGTTGTAGTTGTGGTGTTGTCGAGTTGTAGAAGTATGATAAGTAGGTGTTGGTCGGTGACCAATTAAGCTTCTGAAGCAGACCAGCTGCTCTTTAAGCTGTTAACTTCCGGTTGTTGTTCATCTTGCGGAAAGGTGTTGTTGGAAAATTGCTTGTATTGGTGTGAGTCTGTGTGCGTATGTGTCTGTTGATTGTTGTAGAGTGTCTCGGATTAGTTCTTGTATCTTGGGGTTTGTCTGTGCAGCTCTTTTGAGGTAATTTGAGTTTAGTCTTGTTAGTTCTTCTTGAATCGTCTTCATCCTGGTGATTTTATGTACTTCGTCTGTTGGTGTTGTTACTGGTAGATGGTAGGCTATTTTTAGTGCTCTTTTCTGCAATCTTTGTAAGTGCCTTGTAGATGCGTTTGCCCACGAAGGTGATGCGTATGTGAATACTGGTAGAATTGTTGATTGGTACAAAAACTTTAAGACTTTGGATTTGATGCCTTTGGCTCGTAGTACTAGTAGAAAATTGATTTTCCTTGTCGATTTGTCTTCAATTCTTTGTAGATAGTCTTTCCATGTCAGGTTGTTATTTAATGTAGTTCCCAGAAGTTTAGTGGTTGTTGATGGTTCGATCTCTTCGTTCTGTAGCATTAATTTGCAGTCATTCTTCTTGTGTCTTGTAAAAAGTATAAAGTTCGTCTTCTCCGGGTTCACGTCTATCTTCCATTTCTGGCACCATGCCTCTAGAATTGACCCAAAGCTAACTTCAGCCAGCTACAAGCTCACTTCAGCTTAAACTAGCTGAATTGGACTTGTTAGCTAGCTTTGGAAGCTCAAACTTAGCTATTTCGTGCTGTAAGTTAGAGAGCACAATGAAGCTCAAATCTGATTGGCTGAGACGTGAAAGCTTAAAATTTGGCAGTTTTTTAGCTCTAAAGTTGGTCTGGAGCTGATTTAAGCAAGTTACAAGCTCAGTTGAGCTTAGTAGCTCAAATTAGACGCTCAAAGCTAGCTGTTGAGAGCTCGAAATTGCATACAAGCGAGTTTGAGCTTGCTAGCTAGAGTACAAAGAGAACTATGCTTTTTGGTGGCCTTTAAAAAGGCCGGTTTGGTGTTGCTCAGAGCAACTAGTTGTAGAAGCTGGTCGTCTACTTGGAGCTGGTGTACTTGGTGACGGCCTTGGTTCCCTCACTGACAGCATGCTTGGCCAGCTCTCCGGGCAACAGCAGTCTGACTGCGGTTTGGATCTCCCGGCTAGAGATGGTTGATCGCTTGTTGTAGTGGGCCAGTTTTGAAGCTTCACCGGCGATTCTCTCGAAGATGTCGTTCACGAAGCTGTTCATGATCGACATAGCCTTGGATGAGATGCCAGTGTCAGGGTGGACCTGCTTCAGCACCTTGTAGATGTAGAGAGAGTAGGTCTCTCGCCTCTTCTTCTTCTTTTTCTTGTCTCCGGTGGGCTTCTTCTGGGCTTTGCCTGCCTTCTTGACTGCCTTTCCGCTGACTTTGGGTGCCATTGTAGAGATGTAGTTGTAGTGGTGTTGAGTTGTGGATCGATCAAAAAGCCAACCTAACTTGAAAAATTGTGTTCAAATCGAGCTCGAAGAATACTCAATTTTGATTGGCTCTCAGCTGAAAGCTAAATTAAGCTTCAATTTTGGACTGCCAGTCGAGCTCGTGGCTAGCTAGTGTTTTTAGGCCCCCTTAGTTTGCTCTGAGTAGCTTAGCTATGCCTGCTAGGCAGGATAAAAAGATAGAACTTTAAATTTGGTGGCCTTTAAAAAGGCCGGTTTGGTGTTGAAGCTTGAAAGCTAGCAACTGGTTGAGGTAGAAGCTCTTTACTTCTTGTCAGACTTGGGCTGAGACGAAGACTGCTTCTTGGGTAGGAGCACAGCCTGGATGTTTGGCAGCACACCGCCCTGAGCAATGGTCACTCCGTGGAGCAGCTTGTTCAACTCTTCGTCGTTCCTGATGGCCAACTGCAAGTGTCTGGGGATGATCCTGGACTTCTTGTTGTCTTTAGCAGCGTTGCCAGCCAGCTCAAGGATCTCAGCAGTCAAGTACTCGAGCACAGCAGCAAGGTAGACTGGGGCTCCAGCACCAACTCGCTCAGCGTAGTTGCCCTTGCGGATGAATCGGTGGATTCTTCCAACAGGGAACTGCAGTCCAGCTCGGCTTGATCGGGTCTTGGCCTTGGCTCCAACTTTGCCGCTCTTCGATTTTCCTCCTTTGCCTGACATCGTGTTGTAGTTGTAGCTGTTGTGGTAGAAGCTGTAGATTGACGATTGACTTTACCCGCAATTTGGCTCCCTGTCTTAGGGTAGTAAGTTCAAATCGACCACCAAGATGGGAGAGCCAATCAGAATCGAGCTAGCATTTTAAGTTAATTTAGAGACGCTGAAAGCTCTACACTAACTAGCTGAGCTTATTAGAGCTCTAGCAGAGCTTGTTAGAGCTCTAGCAGAGCTTGACTTACGAACTGAGATAGTTGGTGGCCTTTAAAAAGGCCGGTTTGGTGCTGCAGCTAGGAGAGCAGCTGGCTAAGAAGCTTCTTAACCTCCGAATCCGTACAAGGTCTTGCCTTGTCTCTTGAGGGCGTAGACGATGTCCATGGCTACAACGGTCTTCCTCTTGGCGTGCTCGGTGTAGGTTACAGCATCCCTGATCACGCTCTCCAAGTAGTTCTTGAGCACTCCTCGGGTCTCTTCGTAGATCAGTCCACTGATACGCTTGACACCTCCTCGTCGAGCAAGACGTCTGATGGCTGGCTTGGTGATGCCTTGGATGTTATCTCTTAAGATCTTTCGGTGCCTCTTTGCTCCTCCTTTGCCAAGTCCTTTTCCTCCCTTTCCTCGTCCAGACATGGTTGTTGCAGTTGTAGTTGTTGTAGAAATTGAAGTAGAAGTTGGGTTTGAGATTGGCAAAAATCGCTAGGTACCTATCAATTTCCGACCGACTTCTCTGCTCTCTGATTGGCCCTCATACCAACAGCCAATGAGAGAGCAGATAATAAAAAGTAAAAAAAGTTAGGCACGTAAAGGAGCAATTGAAAAATTTTTTTTTGAGCTCCCACAAGAACTTCTACCTCAAACTGGTCAGTCCACAGAGCTTATCAGAGCTATGTGATTTAAATCAAGCTCGTAGGAGCTCGCTTGAGGTCTGTGGGATAGCTTGCCGAGCTCTGAGAGCTCGAACTTGAAAATAGTTAGGCTAGGTACGGGAGCAATTGAAAAAATTTTGAGCTCACACAAGGTGTACTAGCTTAAACTGGTCAGTCCACAGAGCTTATTCGAGCTCTGTGATTTAAATCAAGCTCATACAAGCTTGCCTGAGCTCTATGAGGTAGCTTGCCGAGCTCTGAGAGCTCGAAGCTCAAAAAAGTTAGGCTACGTACGGGAGCAATTGAACAGCTAGCTCGAGCTCATTTTCCAGCTGCGTCACCCCAATGAGGGGGAAGCAGAGCTCAACCTATACCAGCTTGAGCTTGCTCTGGTCGAAGTTAGCTTGAGCTAAGCTCACTGTGAAGAAATATAGAACTGATAGTTGGGTGGCCTTTAAAAAGGCCGGTTTGGTTGGTGTGGAGTACACCTTGAGCTTAAGCTCGCTCTCCTCGGATTCGTCGAGCCAACTGGATGTCCTTGGGCATGATGGTGACTCTCTTGGCGTGGATCGCGCACAAGTTGGTGTCCTCGAACAGGCTGACCAAGTAGCTCTCGCTGGCTTCCTGGAGAGCCATGATGGCAGTGCTCTGGAACCGCAAGTCAGTCTTGAAGTCCTGAGCGATTTCTCTGACCAGTCGCTGGAAGGGCAGCTTTCGGATCAACAGCTCAGTGGACTTCTGGTATCTCCTGATCTCCCTCAGGGCAACGGTTCCTGGTCTGTATCGGTGAGGCTTCTTCACACCGCCGGTGGAAGGTGCGCTCTTTCTTGCAGCCTTGGTAGCCAGTTGCTTCCTGGGTGCCTTTCCTCCGGTACTCTTTCGTGCAGTCTGCTTCGTTCGGGCCATTCTTCGTCAGTTGAGTGTAGCTGAGTTGTAGATGTAGAAGTAGATTTTGGGTGTTGAATTTTGGTAAAATCCGTGAGGTAACCTAGAGATTCAGATCTCCAGAAGGCTTGAGAGCGTTCGACGTATAAAAAATAGTTAGGCACGTAAAAGAGCAATAGAAGAAGAGCTCTGGTGAGTCGTTACTTATATATATTAAGGAGCATTTTCAACTATATATAGTAAAGTATGTGAAGTGCAGACTATTTATACTTGGATTGGAGGTTACCCGCCAAAAGTGGCAAATGTGATTGGCCCGTGTCTGAGTGATAACGGAAACTCAAACTAAGCTCGAATCTGATTGGCTGAGAAGTGAAAACTGGAAAATTTGGTGTTTCTGCCTCTAGAATTGACCCAAAGCTAACTTCAGCCAGCTACAAGCTCACTTCAGCTTAAACTAGCTGAATTGGACTTGTTAGCTAGCTTTGGAAGCTCAAACTTAGCTATTTCGTGCTGTAAGTTAGAGAGCACAATGAAGCTCAAATCTGATTGGCTGAGACGTGAAAGCTTAAAATTTGGCAGTTTTTTAGCTCTAAAGTTGGTCTGGAGCTGATTTAAGCAAGTTACAAGCTCAGTTGAGCTTAGTAGCTCAAATTAGACGCTCAAAGCTAGCTGTTGAGAGCTCGAAATTGCATACAAGCGAGTTTGAGCTTGCTAGCTAGAGTACAAAGAGAACTATGCTTTTTGGTGGCCTTTAAAAAGGCCGGTTTGGGGTTGCTCAGAGCAACTAGTTGTAGAAGCTGGTCGTCTACTTGGAGCTGGTGTACTTGGTGACGGCCTTGGTTCCCTCACTGACAGCATGCTTGGCCAGCTCTCCGGGCAACAGCAGTCTGACTGCGGTTTGGATCTCCCGGCTAGAGATGGTTGATCGCTTGTTGTAGTGGGCCAGTTTTGAAGCTTCACCGGCGATTCTCTCGAAGATGTCGTTCACGAAGCTGTTCATGATCGACATAGCCTTGGATGAGATGCCAGTGTCAGGGTGGACCTGCTTCAGCACCTTGTAGATGTAGAGAGAGTAGGTCTCTCGCCTCTTCTTCTTCTTTTTCTTGTCTCCGGTGGGCTTCTTCTGGGCTTTGCCTGCCTTCTTGACTGCCTTTCCGCTGACTTTGGGTGCCATTGTAGAGATGTAGTTGTAGTGGTGTTGAGTTGTCGATCGATCAAAAAGCCAACCTAACTTGAAAAATTGTGTTCAAATCGAGCTCGAAGAATACTCAATTTTGATTGGCTCTCAGCTGAAAGCTAAATTAAGCTTCAATTTTGGACTGCCAGTCGAGCTCGTGGCTAGCTAGTGTTTTTAGGCCCCCTTAGTTTGCTCTGAGTAGCTTAGCTATGCCTGCTAGGCAGGATAAAAAGATAGAACTTTAAATTTGGTGGCCTTTAAAAAGGCCGGTTTGGTGTTGAAGCTTGAAAGCTAGCAACTGGTTGAGGTAGAAGCTCTTTACTTCTTGTCAGACTTGGGCTGAGACGAAGACTGCTTCTTGGGTAGGAGCACAGCCTGGATGTTTGGCAGCACACCGCCCTGAGCAATGGTCACTCCGTGGAGCAGCTTGTTCAACTCTTCGTCGTTCCTGATGGCCAACTGCAAGTGTCTGGGGATGATCCTGGACTTCTTGTTGTCTTTAGCAGCGTTGCCAGCCAGCTCAAGGATCTCAGCAGTCAAGTACTCGAGCACAGCAGCAAGGTAGACTGGGGCTCCAGCACCAACTCGCTCAGCGTAGTTGCCCTTGCGGATGAATCGGTGGATTCTTCCAACAGGGAACTGCAGTCCAGCTCGGCTTGATCGGGTCTTGGCCTTGGCTCCAACTTTGCCGCTCTTCGATTTTCCTCCTTTGCCTGACATCGTGTTGTAGTTGTAGCTGTTGTGGTAGAAGCTGTAGATTGACGATTGACTTTACCCGCAATTTGGCTCCCTGTCTTAGGGTAGTAAGTTCAAATCGACCACCAAGATGGGAGAGCCAATCAGAATCGAGCTAGCATTTTAAGTTAATTTAGAGACGCTGAAAGCTCTACACTAACTAGCTGAGCTTATTAGAGCTCTAGCAGAGCTTGTTAGAGCTCTAGCAGAGCTTGACTTACGAACTGAGATAGTTGGTGGCCTTTAAAAAGGCCGGTTTGGTGCTGCAGCTAGGAGAGCAGCTGGCTAAGAAGCTTCTTAACCTCCGAATCCGTACAAGGTCTTGCCTTGTCTCTTGAGGGCGTAGACGATGTCCATGGCTACAACGGTCTTCCTCTTGGCGTGCTCGGTGTAGGTTACAGCATCCCTGATCACGCTCTCCAAGTAGTTCTTGAGCACTCCTCGGGTCTCTTCGTAGATCAGTCCACTGATACGCTTGACACCTCCTCGTCGAGCAAGACGTCTGATGGCTGGCTTGGTGATGCCTTGGATGTTATCTCTTAAGATCTTTCGGTGCCTCTTTGCTCCTCCTTTGCCAAGTCCTTTTCCTCCCTTTCCTCGTCCAGACATGGTTGTTGCAGTTGTAGTTGTTGTAGAAATTGAAGTAGAAGTTGGGTTTGAGATTGGCAAAAATCGCTAGGTACCTATCAATTTCCGACCGACTTCTCTGCTCTCTGATTGGCCCTCATACCAACAGCCAATGAGAGAGCAGATAATAAAAAGTAAAAAAAGTTAGGCACGTAAAGGAGCAATTGAAAAATTTTTTTTTGAGCTCCCACAAGAACTTCTACCTCAAACTGGTCAGTCCACAGAGCTTATCAGAGCTATGTGATTTAAATCAAGCTCGTAGGAGCTCGCTTGAGGTCTGTGGGATAGCTTGCCGAGCTCTGAGAGCTCGAACTTGAAAATAGTTAGGCTACGTACGGGAGCAATTGAAAAAATTTTGAGCTCACACAAGGTGTACTAGCTTAAACTGGTCAGTCCACAGAGCTTATTCGAGCTCTGTGATTTAAATCAAGCTCATACAAGCTTGCCTGAGCTCTATGAGGTAGCTTGCCGAGCTCTGAGAGCTCGAAGCTCAAAAAAGTTAGGCTACGTACGGGAGCAATTGAACAGCTAGCTCGAGCTCATTTTCCAGCTGCGTCACCCCAATGAGGGGGAAGCAGAGCTCAACCTATACCAGCTTGAGCTTGCTCTGGTCGAAGTTAGCTTGAGCTAAGCTCACTGTGAAGAAATATAGAACTGATAGTTGGGTGGCCTTTAAAAAGGCCGGTTTGGTTGGTGTGGAGTACACCTTGAGCTTAAGCTCGCTCTCCTCGGATTCGTCGAGCCAACTGGATGTCCTTGGGCATGATGGTGACTCTCTTGGCGTGGATCGCGCACAAGTTGGTGTCCTCGAACAGGCTGACCAAGTAGCTCTCGCTGGCTTCCTGGAGAGCCATGATGGCAGTGCTCTGGAACCGCAAGTCAGTCTTGAAGTCCTGAGCGATTTCTCTGACCAGTCGCTGGAAGGGCAGCTTTCGGATCAACAGCTCAGTGGACTTCTGGTATCTCCTGATCTCCCTCAGGGCAACGGTTCCTGGTCTGTATCGGTGAGGCTTCTTCACACCGCCGGTGGAAGGTGCGCTCTTTCTTGCAGCCTTGGTAGCCAGTTGCTTCCTGGGTGCCTTTCCTCCGGTACTCTTTCGTGCAGTCTGCTTCGTTCGGGCCATTCTTCGTCAGTTGAGTGTAGCTGAGTTGTAGATGTAGAAGTAGATTTTGGGTGTTGAATTTTGGTAAAATCCGTGAGGTAACCTAGAGATTCAGATCTCCAGAAGGCTTGAGAGCGTTCGACGTATAAAAAATAGTTAGGCACGTAAAAGAGCAATAGAAGAAGAGCTCTGGTGAGTCGTTACTTATATATATTAAGGAGCATTTTCAACTATATATAGTAAAGTATGTGAAGTGCAGACTATTTATACTTGGATTGGAGGTTACCCGCCAAAAGTGGCAAATGTGATTGGCCCGTGTCTGAGTGATAACGGAAACTCAAACTAAGCTCGAATCTGATTGGCTGAGAAGTGAAAACTGGAAAATTTGGTGTTTCTGCCTCTAGAATTGACCCAAAGCTAACTTCAGCCAGCTACAAGCTCACTTCAGCTTAAACTAGCTGAATTGGACTTGTTAGCTAGCTTTGGAAGCTCAAACTTAGCTATTTCGTGCTGTAAGTTAGAGAGCACAATGAAGCTCAAATCTGATTGGCTGAGACGTGAAAGCTTAAAATTTGGCAGTTTTTTAGCTCTAAAGTTGGTCTGGAGCTGATTTAAGCAAGTTACAAGCTCAGTTGAGCTTAGTAGCTCAAATTAGACGCTCAAAGCTAGCTGTTGAGAGCTCGAAATTGCATACAAGCGAGTTTGAGCTTGCTAGCTAGAGTACAAAGAGAACTATGCTTTTTGGTGGCCTTTAAAAAGGCCGGTTTGGTGTTGCTCAGAGCAACTAGTTGTAGAAGCTGGTCGTCTACTTGGAGCTGGTGTACTTGGTGACGGCCTTGGTTCCCTCACTGACAGCATGCTTGGCCAGCTCTCCGGGCAACAGCAGTCTGACTGCGGTTTGGATCTCCCGGCTAGAGATGGTTGATCGCTTGTTGTAGTGGGCCAGTTTTGAAGCTTCACCGGCGATTCTCTCGAAGATGTCGTTCACGAAGCTGTTCATGATCGACATAGCCTTGGATGAGATGCCAGTGTCAGGGTGGACCTGCTTCAGCACCTTGTAGATGTAGAGAGAGTAGGTCTCTCGCCTCTTCTTCTTCTTTTTCTTGTCTCCGGTGGGCTTCTTCTGGGCTTTGCCTGCCTTCTTGACTGCCTTTCCGCTGACTTTGGGTGCCATTGTAGAGATGTAGTTGTAGTGGTGTTGAGTTGTGGATCGATCAAAAAGCCAACCTAACTTGAAAAATTGTGTTCAAATCGAGCTCGAAGAATACTCAATTTTGATTGGCTCTCAGCTGAAAGCTAAATTAAGCTTCAATTTTGGACTGCCAGTCGAGCTCGTGGCTAGCTAGTGTTTTTAGGCCCCCTTAGTTTGCTCTGAGTAGCTTAGCTATGCCTGCTAGGCAGGATAAAAAGATAGAAC